CATCTAGAATAGTTTGTAATTAAAAATCCAAGATAGACTTTTTAAATTTTGTGAAAAAATAAAATAACAGAAGTTTTTGTTTTTCTTATGATTAACAATGATTAGATGAAAGTTTTCCATAAAATACGTAATTTAAATATACATTCATCTCTTGACCAAAAAAATATATATATACATGAATTAAAAAATCTACCCATCGCGTGGGCAACCTTCTAGTATATTTATATATATATATATATATATATATGAGAGCTTGCATTTTCCCTACTAGCCCAAAGTTCGTTCCTACACAAGAGTTATATCAAACATCCAAGTGGATAACCTTGAAAAAAATGGAAAAAAGTTGGAAGACAAACTCCTACATTCTCGTGTTCATGATCAGTCCAAGAAACAAATGTCGGTGCATGTATACCCAGCAGAGAGATATTCATAAGTGTTGACGGTTGATTGAGTTACATAAACTACAAATAAAAAACAGATTTAAGGTTGAATCTTGGAGCAGGATTTTAGAGAAAAGGTCAAAAGAAATACTGGAAAGTCCAGAAAACGCTATATGTCAGCCTGAAGTTTTTTGCCGAGTTACAGAAACTACGATCTAGCAAATAGAGTTTATCTACTCGCATTGGAGTCTCTCAATTCCCTTGTTTCTTCACGCTAAAGGTACTCAGATTTTGATGTTTGAGTTAGAGAGTCCAACATCGGTGAATTATACATTGATAAAGAGTATCAATGATGGAACCTTCAGAAGAATCTCTCATTGTGATGGTGTAATCATCTGCACTATCTTGTCAGACAACCATCTATTTTTTCGTAAGGTTAAAATACTGGAACTTTCCAAGAATTTTTTACAGCAACATGAAAACATCTTATCTGGAACTTTCCAAGCATTTTTACATCAAGTGAAGTTCCTGATACTGAATGAAGAGGGGGTTATTAACGTTGCTGCTGCAATCGCTTACAAAAAATAGCAAAAGGAATGGTGAAAAGGACCACACAAATCGATCGTAATGCTTATGCCATACACTCAAGTACTTGCGTCTACAAACACAGTTTGGTTCATGTACCGGTGATGAAAATGAGGATTGATATATTTTTTAAATTTTTTAAAACTTTTTTTTGGTAAAAATACTTAGATCTATGTTCATGTCTATTTATGATTAAATATGTAAAATTTGTTTGGTTTATTCACCACGAATACAAATGTTGTGCAAAATGAATGATAAAACTAAAAGCAAGCAACTCATGTGTAATTTCCGAGACATCACAAAAGAGTGCAACGTCAAGTCATTGGGATAGTATGCAAAGATTATAATTCCATCTTCAGCGACATAACTTTTATCTAATATAGTTTTTCACATGAGAATCTCCAAATTTTAAATGCTAGTTATATTTGGATAATCCTAGTTATATCCAAATTCACGACTTCAAGAAGAAGCTATTAGAAGTTTATCACAGTGGGACAATTGCAGTTCTCTATTTAATAAAATTGTGCTTTAGATGTATGGTCAAGACATATTACGGAAAGATGGAGAAAATTTTTCATATATGACATATACTTTTTGACGTAGTGGTAACATGCGGTACAAGGTTTTGAGAATCACTTTTGATTGTTTTTTTTATCAAAAATGTTGATTTCATGGACCAGAGACAAAAATCTATGACATAGACTCAAATTATTATAAATTTATAGATATCATATTGAATTAGAGCGTGTATTGAGTCAAAGTAAAGGTGGTATTAGTAAAAGATAATTCGTATATGTTGGCTACATTAGAAGACAAAATTTAATCAAAGTTTGAAGATTTCAATGGAATCATTTATTTTGCACCTCTTTACTTGGAGTCAAAGTGGAGACTGGATAGTAGGGTAATTATATTTTTGCTTTGAACCATAAAAGCAAGGCTTAGTACATGAACCAAACTCCGAACGTACACACAACTATTTGAAGGACTACAGTATCTATAATGTTCTATCTCTTGTTTGTTAAAAATTGTCTTACATTATCTTTCAACCGTTTCATCATCTGTTACTTCTTCACTAAATATTGTGATGATGTTTTGGTTTACCAAGTAAGTTGGAATCGAAAGAAATATTGTGATGATGTTTTGGGTTATCAAGTGTAACACCCCGGTTTGAAGAATATGGTGGTGCATGCAGAGAGGTTTAAAATAATTGATTTGGCCACCTATGTCACCAAAGTGCACTTATTTTTTCGGTCAACTATCCTAAGAGAACTTCACAGTTAAGCGTGCTTGAGCTGGAGCAATTTAAGGATGGGTGACCTTCCGGTAAGTGATTGTCGGAACTTTGTGAGTGAGGACAAAACACAGGAAAAGATCATGTGGTGATTTGTAGGGTCGGTAAACAAGTCTTTAAAGCCTCCCGGACGTAGCGGACCGACTGTCGGACAGGAGTGGGCCATGGGCCCGAGAGAGGACGTGAGGCCCACTGGTAGAGACGGTTGGGGCATTACACAAGTAAGTTGGAAGCGAAAGATAAGTTGATGTTTTATGACAACTAAAAACAAATTTTCTCTCAAATTTCAACTTCAATTCTCATCGGCCTACAAAGATGGTCCATGGCAAAAAACAAAAATATGGAAGCATAATTCAAAACTAAATTTTGGTCCATCCATGGCAAGTCATTGGACGATGACTTGAAAGGATGATGGAGGATTGATGTCCCTGTGAGTGATGAAAGAAGACTTTATGAACAGAAGAAGAACAAGTGGTTTACCGACTCAAATGAAGAACCACAAAGGAGACAGTGAGGCAGCACATTAAATCCCCCAACTTAGAAGACTATCTCTTGTCAAGAGCCTGTCTCGAAGTATTAGCTAGAGTATAATAAAGGCATGCTTTGGAATGCGCTGCGAGAACCAAACCACTTTGTGCCAAGAGTTAGGCGTTGAAAAAGGGTTTAGCATCTTACATGTATTCGAAGAACAGCACTGAGAGGGTATAGTTCAGTGATGGAGTTACGCCATAAGAAGAAGTCTGGATTAGAAGGTGAATTCGAGAGCAAGTGGGCTGCGTTTGGGAGACAAGAGCGCAGCAAAACCATCCAACTTCTTGACCTCTAAAAATTCGACGTCCATGGAATTTTATTAAAGCCAAAAAGAGAGAAAGACACGTAAACATTAATTAATTCAGAAGCTAGAAGTCGAAGTAGCCCCACTTGTCTTCTGTTCAGTCACTCTCTAGATGTATTCATATAATGGGATCCCAAAACCAATTTGTAGAAGTAGCTAAATAGTTGTGAGTTTTATTAAAATTTGTTCATTATATAACTCAAAAACATATACACACACTCCCTAATTTGAATTTGAGTTATACCATGCCGGTGGTATTAGAAAGCTACGGTAAATATTGATTTATCATAATTTATATGTGTTGTGAAACATCAAACATGCGTCGTCATGTGAATCATATGTGTAAAATAACCTTTTCGGAGAAACCTCACAAAGAATTTGTAAAACTGATGATAAGCCAAATATATATATATATAAAGCTTTTGATTGCACTTCATATAATTTTATAGAAAATATATTTAATTTGTTATTTACAAAATAATTTGGATTATACTTTAGGTTATGTGTTAGTTTATATCAACAACTTTGACTAAATATTAGAATATCATTGTAAATTATCATTTTATCACTAATAATGTTTATTTTACCTCGAATGCACAAAAATACTAAATAAAATTATTATCATAGTTGAACTAAAAACAAAAAAATGCTTGAGATTTCTATGTATGATTATATAAAATAAATTATATATTTTGATATTGTATGAATTGGATAAATATAAATGTAATCCACCGAGAAAACACAAGGAGACCGACCAACACAGGGAACACAAATACATACAAGGGATTGAGAAAGGTGGCAACAGAGGTTACGAATAATACCCCGAACATAAGTGACAAGATATCGATCATAAATCTCATTCCAAGCTTTCTCATGTGAATCGCCATAATAATAAAAAAAAAATCCCCACGCCAAAAGAAATATCATGCTGCATAAATGAAATTGATGATCCATAAAATCTTTATGGGTGTCGGCCTAAGTGCTTCAAACTCTTTTTTTTTTTTCTAAGCCAGAGTGCTTGTTAAGCCACACCACTAAGCTAAGCTTCTTCATCCTTTTTCTCTAGATTTTTGTTAACTTTCATATTTCTATAAACCAAAAAAAAAAAAAATGTCATCTGCTTCTTCTTTCTTATACTACGAGACAAGGTTCATCTCACCTTATGATATCATCACACGAGATCTTCCATCTCGACCACTGAAGCGATGGTCACCGGATCTCTCCGAGATTTGGCTAAGTCACCGCCAAGTCGCTTTCCGATGGAGACAAGCTCCGTTGCCGCTGTTCCAACACGAGCCAGCTCCGCCGCCTTCCCGTCTTCAGAAGAAACCCTAGGAGTCAAGACTCCTCCATATGTGTGCATTTTGCATCTTTTCACTGCCCATCCAAGTCCATCCGCGGTCAAGTCACCATGACTTCATTAAGCTATATGCTTCCACGCTACAAGTGTCGTTCCCTGATCTAAGTTGATCTCGACTTCATGCTTCCACACGACCATTGTCGTTCATGATCAATGATCCTATGGTAAGTCACAAGACTTTCTACGCTAAATGCTTCCTTCAACTTCTTCTAAGCTAAAGGCTTCCTTCCACTTCTTTTAAGCTATACGCTTTCCAACCTTCACAACGTGTTCTCCGCATTTTACGATGTCAATCTTAAGACGCTGCTGTCGTTGTCTACGTACACTCCATACATTAATTATATTATTCTATGTAATCCCTTTAATCATGCTCTTTGATTATGTTATGTGCTTATATATAAGTTGTAACTTTTCATTCAATAATATATAACAACAATACAATTCAATCTTCTCAATTCAATAAATTTAAGTTATACCATGCCGGTGGTATTAGAAAGCTACGGTAAACATTGATTTATCATAATTTATATGTGTTATGAAACATCAAACATGCGTCGTCGTCGTGTGAATCATATGTGTAAAGTAACCTTTTCGGAGAAACCTCACAAAGAATTTGTAAAAGTGATGATAAGCCAAAGATATATATAAGAAAAATCAAGGACAAAAATTTATTTCCCGTGTCTTGTTTCACAAAAAATAAGAAAACAAAACCTGTGAAAAAGGTAAAATATATGTAGAAAATATCCAGCGGGATCAAATTAACATAATCCTAGATTTGGTCCAACAAAAAAAAAAAAAAAAAAATTGGTCTTTAACCTAATCCGGCTATAGTAGAAGGGAAGGGTAAGTTGCACCTGATTCGATTATAAAACCAGCGTTCTTTGGATCGGTCTTAAACTTTATCTCACCAGTGCAGTTGGTGCACTGGATGTGAAACCTAAGGATTTTAATCCCAAGGTACGTCTCGCCAATGACTTGTTCTACACGGCTATTGAATTGGGTGCCGTTAGACATGATATGATCACATGTGTTGCATTGAAGCCTCATCGGAAGGTTTAAGTCGGCTCTGCGTTCTGCCATAGCTTCATTAGTCAGAACTTACACGCAATCGAATGACTGCACACAAAAGAAAAAAAGAAGGTATTTGCTCTGTCTTTCCCTTAGACCTATATTTATAAGAAAAAAAAAACTCCTGGTGATTTCCTTTTGTGGGCCCAATAAATAAATTGGACTTTTTCCTTTTTATATTAGTTTTACATTTATAATTTTTGTGAAAAAGAGGAAAGTTTGGAGAAAGTAATTCTTGTATTAATTAACCGTATACTACTACCATTTATATAATAAGATGCACGCTTTAATTAGGGATATAATCTGACTTCACAATCCTTATCACAAATCCTAAACTTATGTTTAAATAAAAATATAGAATAACAATATTAAAAATCTTTGCTTTCAAATTCTCACAAGTGTTTTGGCGGGAAAGGTTTGAGAATATAATTCAGGATACGTCTAACTAGAAAAACCATTTGAAAAACTATGTCTTTTGTTCTAAGCCAACAAGTTAGAGATGTAAAGACGGTTCCTTAACAGGAGTCAATCCCACAAGAATCCTAGCTTGTGTGAGACCTTTCTTAGAAATTTGTCTAAAAATCTTAATGTGTGGAAGGCCTGAGATTAATGTGTGGCTTCATGTCCATTTGTTCTTGTTTCAATTGCTAAGTGATGTGGGATCATTAAGCTCACAGTTCCCCAATTTTCAGAAAAAATAGTTGGGAACTCTGATCCTTGTATCTAGTTTTGTCTGTAGAGAAGTGAATCAGAGATATCAATATCAGTTCTTGTGTTATGTGATACTATTCTTGGAAATATATTGTCTGAAAGTTTAGTAATTACAAGTAATGTGTTGAGATGTGAATGAGGAAGACTGGAGAATTTTCTTTTTTTCTTGTCTAACTTGTTACCTTCTTGTTGTATCTGGTTTTGTCTGTAGAGATGTCATCGTCAGTTCTTGTGTGTTGTGTGAGAGTTTTTCTTAGAAATTTATATGAAATCTGAAAGTTGTTTAGCAATGAAAATGTGTTGAGATGTGAATGAGGAAGGCCTGAGATTAATCTGTTTCTCATATATTCAAACAGGAAAATTTTAAAATTTCCTCTCTTCTCTTGTTCTATCTAAAGATGTTCTTAAGCAACAATACAAAAGAAACTCTCTTTGGTGTTACTCTGATTCAACCTGAAGACTTCCTACAGAAATCAGAAAGTCAAAAAGACCAAGAAGAAGAATAAGAAGTGAAGAACCTCATATATTTTTGATATTTAACAAGCAGTTATTGAATATGTCATTTTATCTCATTTGACTGCAAAGAATCATGACTCCGAAGGAAAGATTGAAAGAGATTCATATAAACTGTGGCCAACAAAGCCATTTTAGAAAAAGTCTAAACTCTCTGACAGACTCAAAAGGAACCTGAAAGTAACTCTTCTCACTTGGTATATATACCACAAGGAATCAAGTACTGTATCAAACAATGGCAACATCAGATAACAAGAATTACACACTCTTCAAGAAACTTTTATCATGTGTGACATCAATAGACAATAAGGCTTCCCAAGTCTGATTCGAAAAGATAAATCAAGCTGCTAAAAAAGAAAGCTATGAATCAACTAGCCAACAATGATTCACAAAGCAGATCATTCTAAAACGATTCTGTAGGTAGGTGAACAAGCAAGTAAGTATGTTGTAGCAATGAATCACAAGAGCAAAGGAAAATTAACCAGTAAACAAAGTAAGGAAAAATACACCAATGTTGAAAGTTTATTGCAACTTTCAATATGATCATAAACAATCTTTCTAATATAGGTCTGAACAGAAACACAGAGAAGAAGATATTACCTTATTAGCCCACTGAAACTTTGACTTGCCAAGCAATAATACCTCTCTTCCTTCCCGACAGAACCTCCTTTCTGTTGATAACCTGCATCAGAATTGTCAACTTGACAAATCTTTATTCATTTTTTTCAAATCACAAACTACATCTTGATTAATATGTGTCTTATACATCCGATTTGCAGACAAGCCATAAAACTCCAATCCAGTTTACTATTCATAAACTGTAAAATCACTATATATCTATGGACAATTACTATATATCACTATATATGTAGACTTCTTTTCTCCTTCTTCTCTTCTCTAAACTCTGTTCCTTCTTCTCAATCTCCTTCTACTACTCCCTTTCTCCTATTTTTCTGTAAAACAAGATTCAGAATTAGTTACACAATTGAAGAAGATAAATCCAATTTTAAAGGGAAAGTTAGTCTCACCTCATACTCATAGGAACGGGAAGAAGACTTGGTAAGTATAAGCAGTTGAGCGAAGGGGTTTTGTGTTTATACGTTTCAATGTAAATTTGTTGAATCCCATCTTGGGCAATGATTAATACCTTGATATGAGCAGTTCCTTCTTCAACTAATTCTTCACAGAACATGACTATCTTCTTCTCGGTTATAAAGAAACTTGGAACAGGATATAAGATCTGCTGATTATGTCCTGTCCCCAAACTATCGATCGATCCTGAACAATAATCCCATTCCAAACATCAATACTGAGATCTTGATGTCGTTGGCATAGCAGCGAAAGACCTTCTCTTCTAAAGGAAGATAAAACCAATGTCTTTGTGCCTTTGACTTGTTGTAATGGAAGTTTAAGTGGCTTGAAAAGTTGTAACTTTGGACAAAGAGTTTTCCATCCGAAGAAGCAATCCAGTATGAATTTCCACCAACCGAGACTATCATTGGTGGTTGTCTAGCGCACTCCCAATTATCTGAACGTCTCCAACGGTTTGTTTCCATCTCAAAGATCTCAGCCACTGCCTCATAAAAGTCACAGTCACAGTCATAAGCCCCAAAATTAAATCTCAGAACTTTGTATTCATTCTTACTGTCATGTCCTAGACAAAAAAAATCGTACACGGACAGATTCGATCCATCGGGTTTGACTACCGTTGAAAACCACTATTCTACATGATATTGTGCTGCAGAGAATCAATCCATCGCACTGCACCATGCTTTTAATCACCTCATCACTACCAAAATCACGGATTTGGAAAGCTCCAGACTTCACCACCCATATCTCAGACTTCCTTGAATGAAGAAACTGATATTGACTGTTTACCAATTGTTTGTAGATAAAATCTACGTCCACTGAAAAGAGAGCCCCATTCTTTGCAGGTTAAGTTGAAGCGCGCAAGAGATTTGACTGGAAGCTTGAGGAGAATTTCCTCAACCAGATCATATGGTAGATTGGCTGCAAGTTTTGGTAACCTCTTGTCTCTGTTTGCTGCACGTGTTTTGTCAACAATATTATCCATCTGTTCATCGCCCATTTGCTGATTTCTTAGACTCTGTAAGAATCACACAAAAACGATTAGAGAATAATCATTGGTTTAGAGTTAAACATGGCCAAGAAAAATCAATGATCAAGTGACAAAACCAAAAAACATCTCTAATTCGAAAGAGATACAGCCTTTTTCTCTCTACCTAAAGCTTCCAGTTTCCAAGTTCCTTTTACTAGCAGCTGATTGCTTCTCAAGATCAACTATGTCTTCAAATAACAAAAAAGTAATGCCAAGTCCAAATTGAGATTTGAGAGATTCAAGAATTTAGGCTTGTGATTAAGAAAACAGATAAAGCCAAGCCAAAAGACATTCATTATTGAATGTTAACTAACTCCTTATGTAAAACTATGATCCACATTGCCTGCTCCTATTTTGAGCCAAAATTTTAGCAAACACAGTTCAAGTAAACAAGCAAGACCATAGTAAGAAAGTGCAGGGTAAGAGATAAATTATACTACTACAATTTATATAATAAGATGCACGCTTTAATTAGGATATAATCTGACTACACAATCCTTATCACAAATCCTAAACTTAAAACTAAATAAAAATACATATTATTCTGAAAGTTAAATTTTTTTTTTTTAAAATAGAAATTTGCTAATCATATCCCAATTCAAAGCTCTAGTCTATTAAAAGTTTAGGTCGTAAGAACATTCACTTTTTTTTATTTGAAGTAATGGTTAGGAAAAACAAAATTGTTATGGAGGATGGATCAAATTGGAGCATGGGACAGAGACAAAATTGTTCTGTTTAGGCAGAGTAGTTTTGAGAAGAAGCAGACAAAATTCTCCAACATTGGATGAACAGCTAAATGAGAATAAGTTTACTGATTAATCAGAAACAACAGAGAAATGAGCTTCTTTTCCAGCAATCTGTTATGAATTACAAAATTCTTCATGAATTGACTCGTCAAGGATCTTGACTAGAGATTATGAAGATACTTGCAGGCAAAGAATCACTGAAATCATACAGTAAAGAAACACTGAAATCATTACAGTAAATGAAATAAAACATGGAACCAAAGGTGTAGTTAAATTGTTTTGTCTTCTTAATCAAGCCGATCTGATTCTCTCTGCCATATTGTTCATGTGTTCAATATGTTTCTCTCTTGGAGGAATACAATCAACAACGATCTCAACCTCCTTCAGCTTCTTCACCCATTTGTTGTATTCTGGAAACTTTTTCTCTGCAATCATCTCCACTCCCATTCCTTCCCAAGCCCTCTCCAAACAAAACGGGATCATACTTCCGGCGACAAAGTCCAAGAATCCGACTGTCTTGCCGCCAAAGTAATCTTTTCCGGCGAGTTCTTTTTCGAGACTCATAATCAATTCTCTTGTCTGCTCGATCAGAACCTCTCTTCCTTTCTCTGTTTTGGCCAGTGAGGTAAACCCGACATTTACTATCTACAATATTAGAGACAATTAACACTGTTTAGTAAAGCATTAAAAATGATAAGTAGCATTGATTAATCCGCTAATCTGATTAATATAGAGTTCTTGACTTCAACTGTTTAAAGTATTGAACTCTTAGAAAGCTGGTTAACACATGCGAAATAGATTAATGATCAAATTCAGTTTTATTTATTATTTCTTGATCTACGATTGATTAACTAAATTCCACAATTCATAATCACAGCAAGATTTTTCAGATGATAAAAAAGAAAAAAAAAACAAAAAAAGAAGAAATTAGTAAAAATGACTACTTCCATATACTAAATGATTAAAAAAGATTGAAAGTAAATAAGAGAATGTACCTGTTCATCAACGAGTTTTGCTAAGACTCGAGCCTTGGATCTTTGGAAAGGATCCTGAGGAAGAATGGGATTGTGTTTCCAAGTCTCATCGATGTATTCGAGGATCACAAGCGACTCGATAATGGTTTTACCATTGTGAACAAGAACAGGGATCTTCTTGTGAATAGGGCTTAGAGCAAGAAGCAAAGAGCTCTTATTGTCCAGATCTTCCTCCAAGTATTCGTACGGTACGCCTTTGAGTTTGAGAGCCATCTCGATCCGACGGCTGAAAGGGCTTGCCCATGTTCCTAAAAGCTTCACTTCCTCATTTTTGCTCATTAGATCTTCTTTCTTTCTTCTTCTTCTCCTTAGATGGTTTTTTAGAATCCTGAATTTGCTCACTTTCTATTTATAGCCTTAGGGTTTCGATGGGTTAAATGTCGCTGTGGCAAAAACGACGATTTATCAACCTTTTTGCCGGCCATTGGACAATGAGATGTGAAATATGAATATTAATATAGATGCAATGACATGTATCACGTTCATTTTATGACATTTGATTATAATAATAAAACTTTAGGACATTGATTCCATACGCGTTGGTAATGGGAGGCATGCGGTTCATCTTTCTCCTTGTCAAGTGTGAGTCATATTTGAGCATGATTAACGGGATATCTAAGTAGAGATCCAAAGTTTTTGTGTCCAAAAATTTAATTATAAAATGCCATAAAACAATAGACGCGAGTCCAAAGATGAATATTTAGAAATGTTTTAGACTCGCATACGTGTCAGTTTCTTATTGGTAGAAGCTTTTGTATACACAAACAATTTGACATATTTTATCAAAAATTTAAACTTTTAGACCTTCTATATTTGGATCCCATCATTGAACAATTTTAACAATAAATCTCTTTCAAGTGTTTAAATTGTAGATTTTCCATTATATAAATTATAAAACTTGTTTGGATCTCTATTTTTGGACTCATTGTTAATTGTCCAATTTTCAAATGTATTAAAATAAAATTATTGATCTCGTATTCGAATCCCTTTATGTAGTGCTATGTTTTTTTCTTTTTTTGAACACCCGTTCTATTTTTTCTTACTAATTTTTACTCTTATATAAACTTAGTGGGTTGTTTTAAGTTCTGAGGAATATTTTGATATGTTCAACGGTTTCCAATTTGTAATGTGAACGATGTGGAGCCCAACAAGACCAGCTCGTCACCCATTTTTTTTCGGCTCTCAAAAGGAACGCCATATGCATTTTTTTAGCATGCGTGAACTCAATATTCAAGACAAATAAAATATCATGTTTTATGGATTTGTAATTGCCTTTATATTCGTTTTAAGGGCGTACATAAAATTGTTATTCTTATATTTTTGTGGGTGGACATCTTAATGAAAAACACTCATCTTTGAATAATTCTACCAAATTTTTCTTTCTTAAATAAAATCTATACAAACTTTAAGATAAATTTATGATAATTTTTAATCAAATTTGTTGAAAATTTCATTTTGAATCGAATTTAACTTGTAACGATTTGCTACGAATAATTGTAAATTTTTTAATAAAACTTTGCCGCGGAATTATAAGATAGGATTCATTGTCTAAGGCTTTAGTTGGAACAAGATAAAATAACAACCTCGAGAGGACCAAATAATGACTTGAGAAAGGATGATAAACCTTGCCATCGCAACCACATAACAAAAGCTATTTTAAAAAGAAATCTATATTTACAAGCAAAAATAGCTTACAAACATTGATGCATTAAAGTAAATTAAAACACTGGATCAAGGACTAATGATTTGCCTTTCTTAGTTAAGGCAATCTGATTCTCTCTGTCATATATTCATGTGTTGTTTAAGAAAACTGATTTTTGGAATTATTTTAAAGAATCTGTTTATTGTTCTTCAATTTCAAAAGAGTTTCTAAGTTTTTAATACACTTTCTTGTGAAGGTTTAGGGATTTGTAACCACATTTTTCGAGTTTTTAAGATGGACATGAGCTGATATCTTTAAATTTGTTATGATTTATGTAATTTCATGTCTTATTCAGAAGATTGTCCTTTCTTTTTTATTTATAGGAAAAATATCACATTTATAGATAAGTTTTTGCCTAAAATTTTGTCATAAAATCCATTTTAAATTTCTATTAGAAAGTTTTCTTTTTTTTTGAATGAATGTTAAATTTATTCAATCCAAAAAAACCATGGTACAACTAAAATATGCATCCTTAATTATATTGAATTTTTTTGAAAATTTTTAAACGGAAATGATAAGATAAGATTGTCACAAACATATGTTATCATGTTCTTGGGGGTGAGGGACAAAAGTCTTTCGTATCTTCCCGAAGTTCTAAAAAATTGGGTTCTGTAGCCTTGATAACTACTCGTGCTTGTGTGGAATACTACTCAGGTACAAATTTCCCAACAGTTCTCTGTTTTGTTTTCAATTTTATCTCTCTTCTTAGTTAGTCTCAAATTTTTTTTTTTTTTTCTTTCATTATTACTCTCATCTGGATTCTTTTTAACTCTTGTAATATATCTCCTAAAAAATATTTAAATAGCCAACCATTCAAGATATAAAAAAATTGCTAACCATTCATAATATTAATATACTTTTGAATTTTGTAAGAAATATGATATCAAATCTAAAAAGTATTAGTTTCAAAATCTCGAGTAAATCATGTCATATTTCAATTAATTGATGTATAGTAGTTTCAGCTTTTAAAAAATTCTGTCTAACTATATTTTTAATAACATAAATAAATATTCAAATTATAAACTGATTTTGTATAAAAAATAAATGTCAGTTGTTAGTGTATTTAAAATTAAAAATGTAAGAATAGAAATGTCACGTTTTAATAAAATTGGTTTAGGCTTTGAAACAAATAGAACATGCCGTAGATGTAAGTTAGGGTAAAACTCCGTAGAGATCTTATTCATTTAGGAGAACTATATATATGATACAAATGAATGTTCTAGAGAGTATCTAGGTATATAAGGAATATTTACATTATTCGATATATGTACTCTAACACTCCCCCGCAGTCGAAGCGTCGGAGGAGCGGACGGTGAGACTGTCCCGGAAGCAAATTGTCGAGACGAGGGAACATGGAGAACACGTACTTGACCAATAGCAACCTTTTTCCCGGACAAAGTGAATATCGATTTCAACATGTTTGGTTCGTTGGTGTAGCACATGATTAGACGAGAGGTAGATTGCGCTAACATTATCACAATACACAATCGTTGCCCGTGGCACTGGTATCTTCAGTTCAAACAGCAATGTGCGGAGCCAAGTAGCTTCAGAAACTGCATTTGCAACACCACGATACTCGGCCTCGGCACTAGAACGAGAGATTGTGTGTTGCCGCTTAGAGGACCAAGATACCAAGTTACCACCAAGATAAACGCAATAGCCTGATGTTGAACGTCGTATGCAGGGACAACCGGCCCAGTCCGCATCGGAGTAAGTAGTGAGTTCAAACGATGTGGGTTTGGTCATGTGAATACCGTGAGAAATAGTACCTTTGATGTAGCGAAGAATTATCTTTAATGCATTTAAGTGTGCTTCCCGTGGATCATGCATAAAGAGACAGATCTGTTGAACCGCAAACGAGATGTCCGGACGTGTGAAGGTTAAGTATTGTAGAGCACCAGCGAGACTTCTATAGAAAGTAGGGTCAGCGACGGGAGGACTTCCATCAGCAGCAAGTTTCTGTTTCATGTCAACAGGGGTGAGACACGGGTTACAATTCGTCATATTGGCGCGATGGAGAATGTCGGCAGCATAGTTGTGTTGATGGAGAAACAGACTAGACTTGTCCCGTTGAACAGTGATGCCGAGAAAGTGATGGAGCGGTCCCTGATCTGACATTTCGAACTCCAAACTTAAGCTCTTAGTGATGCGTTGTAATAGAGCTGGAGAGGACGCAGTGAGAATGATGTCATCGACGTAGAGGAGTAGGTAGGCCAAGTCTGATCCGTTGCAAAGAACAAATAATGAGTTATCCGAAAGGCTTTGCTTGAAACCGAGGCGCCGAGCAAAAGTGGCAAAACGTGTGTTCCACGCGCGAGGTGCCTGCTTTAAGCCATAAAGAGATCGCTCCAAGAGACATACGTGATCGGGTTTAGTCTTATCAATAAAACCTGGAGGTTGATGCATATAGACCGTCTCATCAAGGTCTCCGCGAGCTAGAGCAACATCAAGAACCGTACGGATTGTCGCAGGCTTGACCACTGGGCTAAACGTCTCGTCACAGTCAATGCCGAGTTGCTGGGATTTGCCATTTGCAACAAGACGCGCTTTGTAGCGACTTAGAATTCCATCTGCATTAAATTTATGCTTAAAAAGCCACATAGAACGCACAATGTTAGTATTCTTTGGGCGTGGCACAAGAACCCACGTTCTGCTTTTAATAGGAGCATCATGTTCCACATTCATGGAATTATTCCAAAAGGGATCCTTAGCCGCCTGAATATGAGACAAAGGTAATGGAGAAATTTTAAGATCAGTATGGAGACATAAGCGGATGCATGGTTTGACAATACCACTTTTTGCTCGAGTCACCATAGGATGTGCGTTTTGTGGAGGTGAGAGAGGAGGAGAAGGAGGAGGGAGAGGAGTCGGAGATGGTGGAGGAGATGGTGGAGGAGATGGTGGAGGAGATGGTGGAGTTGGATCCGGAGAAGACGATGTATGAGGAATTGAGGAGGAAACAAAGACGGAGGCTCGGTGTTTGAGGTGGGAACGACTGAGAAAGGAAACACCGTCTCATCAAAGACTACATGGCGAGAGAGTATGACACGTCTTGTTTTGATGTCGAGGCAACGATAACCACGGTGATCGCTTGGGTACCCGAGAAAAACACATGGAGTGGAGCGGTGAGTAAGTTTATGTTAAGATGTAGGCAGTAGATTAGGGTAGCAAAGACACCCAAACGTGCGGAGGTGATGATATGTTGGCGCCTTCTCGAACAGTCTAGCATAAGGAACGGCATTGTGAATGGCCGTCGAGGGAAGAATATTGAGTAGATGAGTTGTTGTATGAAGAGCTTCAGCCCAATATTCAGCAGGAATGGCCGCTTGGAAAAGTAAGGTGCGAACCATGTTGTTAATTGTGCGTAGCATCCTCTCAGCTCGTCCGTTTTGTTGGGATGTATGCGGGCAGGAGAAGCGAAAAACCGTCCTTGTCGAGGCCAAATGTTCTTTAAACGCTCGATTGTCATACTCTCTGTCATTATCGCATTGTAGTGATTTGAATTGACGATTAAATTGTGTCTGCACATAGGTAGAAAAATTGATATATTTTACCAAGGTATCACTTTTACGATGGAGAGGATAAGCCCATACAAAATGTGAATATTGATCGAGAAAGATAAGATAATATTTGAGACCACTAATACTCGGAACTGGAGATGTCCAAATGTCAGAATGCACGATTTCAAAAAGACTAGAAGCTATAGTATTTGAATTAAAAAATGGGAGACGAGTATGTTTTCCAAGCTGACATGCTTGACACAATGATGTCAAGTCGGTCTTTGGAACAGAAATAGAAAGAGATGATAATAAATGAGATAAAAGAGTAGAGCTTGGATGACCAAGACGACGATGCCAAATAAAGCTATCCGATGTTGTAGCAGCAAGAGCGTGATGAGAAGAAGGATATGAAGATGGTGTGACGGAGTAGAGGGGTCCCGAGCTGTCACATCGGAGGAGTTTGTTCCGGGTTTTGAGATCCTTAACAGAAAAACCAAAAGGATCAAATTCAATGGTACACCAATTGTCAGTGACAAATTTTCGTACCGAGACAAGATTTTTAACGATAGCAGGACAAACCAAGACATTACGAAGAGAGAAAGAACGAGAAGGATATGAGAGAGTACCATGACCAATTGTCTCAACAGGGGCTAGGGATCCGTTACCAACGGTAACAAGTGGCATGGTGCTAGTATTAAAAGTAGATTGTAGATTACCTATGTTGGAGGTAATGTGACTTGTTGCGGCAGAGTCCATGTACCAATTGGGGTCTGGTTCCTGCAAGGTCATCGTGTTAAACGCGTGGATGAGGCCAGGAGGAAGTTGTGACATGGGCGCTGACGGTGTTGGATACGGGTACACATTAGCCATATGTGCTGCGTGAGTGGGCTGAGACGGATGTGGACCGAGTATGCCAGGATGAGCCGCATTTGTGGGCTGGAATGGACCTTGACCGAAGGTAGGGTATCCAGTGTGCTGTTGTGGTGGCTGCATAGGGGCATAGAACGGTGGATGTTGCCACTGGTTGTTGTAAGTCCACGGAGATGAAAACTGGTTGTAAGACCAATTGTTGTTGTAGCGTCCTCTGCCTCTGTTACGTCCTCCTCCACGGTTACGTCCTCTGTTGCCACGGCCAGAGTTGTACTTTTGACCAGAGGGACGTTGAGAGCCATCAGATATCGTGTAGAGGATGGTGGAGGAAGATGACGTGTCATGGTGGACATCACTTGGCTTGATCTGTTTGGAGAGGCGGTCTTCTTCCAGCTGGAGCATTGATCGTGTCTCAAGGAAACTTAGGAATGGTGACTTGTGTTTGATGACGTTGATAATGGAGTCAAACTTGTCGGACAAGCCATTCAACATATGCATCACAAGCGCACGGTCAGTGACGGGAAAGTCGATGTTGGCAAGTAGGTCAGCTAGATTCTTCATCTTCTTGCAGTAGTCGTGAACAGAGAGGTCACCAATCACCATCGTACGTAACTCGTTTTCAAGCTGAAGAGCACGCGCCTCCTTGTTGTCAAGAAAGAGAGTTTCAATGGCGAGCCAAAGTTCACGAGCAGTGGAGTTCTTTTTTAGAACAGTGTCGATGATGGATTCAGAGATGGTGCCGTAAATCCACATCTTGACATGGCCATCTCGCTCCTTCCATTCTTTTGCTATCTCTGGAGTTGATTTGGTGGATCCATCAAGGTGGCCTAAGACACCAAAGCTCACACAGTGGGTCTCAAAGAGCTCACGCCACAGGTTGTAGTAAAGGTTGGCCATATCTAGCAAGATTGGTATGTAGGCCTTGATCTGTGTGATGCCGTAGAGTTTTTCGTTGGAAGAGGAAGGAGGAGCCATGGCTGAGAGAGATTCAAAGAGGAAGAGAGGAACAGAGGAGAGAGAAAGTGTTTAGAGAGAAAGAGACGAGAGCGGAGGTGGATCGATCGCTTTAGTTTGGTGGCTAGGGTTTAGCGTGTGATACCATGTAAGTTAGGGTAAAACTCCGTAGAGATCTTATTCATTTAGGAGAACTATATATATGATACAAAGGAATGTTCTAGAGAGTATCTAGGTATATAAGGAATATTTACATTATTTGATATATGTACTCTAACATCTAACAGTAGATAGGATTATCGTAAATCTGTCATATTGTGGGAGATGGGAGACAAATTAAATTCTTCTATGTATATCATATCTTAAAGTTCCAATAAGAAAAGTGTAACGTTCCGACCGGCCGCCACTGCATATAGATTTTATGTCATTTTTCGGTTTGTGGGCCCTATCTCATCTGACGGCAGCCGGAATGTTACTTCCGAAGATTTGAAAGATCTGACTTTGATTATTTGACATACAACTTTTTCTTCGTACATGTGTTTTAAGGATAGATAAAAAAAAGTGATATGATTGCAAATTGGCTAACTGAACAAATTCATTGTCAGAATTGGAACTAAAGAAGAGTCTATTATATACCTGATCTGATCATCGACGAGCCCTAGATCTCTCATAAGGATCCTGAGAATTGGATTGTCTGGCCAAGTCTCGTCGATGTATTCGAAGATTACGTGAGACTCAAGAATGGTTTTACCTATGTGAATCACAACTTAACATGTGTAAAGAATCGAATTCATCCTGTTGCCAAAAAGGAGATACAAAAGCAGTTATAACTTTAACCTTGAGACTTAACTACTGGTACGTGTGGAAAATATTTCAGAAAGTTAGGTGCAAATCCCCCCTTCCAATACCTAACATCATTACTAAATTGCATTTTCTTCTTTCTTTTGAACGAAAAAGTATTGAAATTAAACCATTACAATTTATTTTAGAAGTATATTAATTAAAAGCATAGTAGTATATGATATATCTAAATAGTGGCAATATGAGTAAAGTTTCTCAGACTAATCTTTGTTGTAAAACAGAATAAATAAATTCTAAGATAAATATTGCGTGTCCACATAAAAAAATTTCACACTATATTTTTGTAGGTGTTGTTTTAGTTTGACCATGCAAAACTTGTTTTAATATTCCTCATGCATAAAACTCAGTCACTAATAAGTTTTCAAAGTTTGGCTGACATCATGACATGAGCAAGAAGGTGGAAAAATGTTTCAACCAGCTCACTCACTAATTTAGTTTAATTTTATTAATGATACGAAACGTAACTGATATATTTAATATTTTTTGTATCCGTCACTCGTTTTATTTATTCCAAATTAACATATTTTAAAAACTAAACTCATTTTCGCATAATTCGAAGGAATGATTCCTTCATAAATTAAAATATTTTTGCGACATACGGAAAATGATTGACAAAAGATACTTTATTTATTATTCTAAAAAAAAATTTGCTCAAAAAAAAAAAAGATACATTATTAAAAAAATTATTACAAATTTCTTTTTAAAGTCACGAAATTTTGCGATTGATTGACAACAAAAGATAGCTGTAGTTTCGTTATAAAATTTGCGACGGCAAGTATAAGATAAGATTGTGGCAAATTCTATCATCTTTTGTAGCTGATCAATAGCCAAAGCTTTACTGCGAACAAAATAACATTAATTCTAGAGAGTGACCGTGGGGACCAAATAAGATAACGTGAGAAATGATAATAAAACCTCACTCTCTCAACCACACAACATAAAAGATATTTTTTAAAAGAAATCCTTATTCATTAGAATAAACAACAACATAACCATACAAACATTGCATGATCAAGAACTAAACATGATTTGTTGTCTTAATTAATTAAGAAGATCTCACTCTCTCTGCCATATAGTTCATGTGTTCTACATGTTTCTCTCTTGGTGGAACACAATCTTTCACAATCTCAACCTTCTCCAAATTCTTAACCCATCTCTTGAATTCTGGAAACTTCTCCTCTGTAATCACTTCCAAACCTATTCCTTCCCAACCTCTCTCCAAACAAAACGGAATCAAACTTCCGGCGACAAAGTCCAAGAATCCGACAGTCTTGCCACCGAAGTAATCTTTTCCGACAAGTTCTTTCTCAAGATACATAATCAGTTCTCGTGCCTGCTCGGCTAAAACTTCTCTTCCTTTCTCGTCTGCTCTTGCCATTGATACAAACCCCACATTCATAATCTACAATGTCAGAGACATAATCGCTAATGTTAATAAAAATTTACTTGTTTGATAAACTAACAAAACAAGACCAATTGTTTATTATTTGACATGCAATTTTGAATCAATTCAATTACCTGTTCATCGACGAGTTTAGCAAAGAATCTAGCTTTGGATCTTTCGTAAGGATCTTGAGGGAGAATTGGATTGTGTGGCCAAGTCTCATCGATGTATTCAAGAATCACATGAGACTCAAGAATGGTTTTACCATTGTGGACAAGAACAGGGATTTTCTTGTGAATAGGGTTAAGAGCAAGAAGCAAAGGGCTTTTGTTCTCCAATATTTCTTCCACGTATTCGTACGGTATGCCTTTGAGTTTGAGAGCCATCTCGACCCGACGGCTAAAAGGGCTCGCCCATATTCCCAAAAGCTTCACTTGGTCTTTCTCCGCCATTTGATATCTCTTCTCTTCTCTCTATGTTTTTTTTTTTCTTCTGCTTTTGTGGAGTTATCAGTACTTCGGGCTTAGATTTATAGCCGTATGGTTTTGATGGTCTTGTGATAAAACGACGACGAACTTTGCCGTTTTTTTTTTGTCGGCAGTGATATGTTAATGAGAAGAGTCTAGAAGGCAACAGATGTTGACTTTACAACATATTTATAACGTTCACTTTATAATATTTTTGTTCTCTTTTTTTAATATACGGAGATGTGTCGTAACACATAACTTACCCTTATCCCTAGAGCATGTGTAGCTTGACCCAACATTATTTTTTAGCATTAGGCAAATCATATTTTCAGGGCCCTTTTTAACAAAAGAATAAATTTTGGACCCTTTTATGTAAGGAACTTTTTTAGAGTTTGGCGTGAGCCATGTCCCTCGGTCCCTCCCGCCACCTCTAGAGCCGGATCTACGTTGTGGACGCAGGACGCTAATTATTTTTTTTTTCCTTTATAGTGGTCAATAATAACTCAACTTAAACATGTCAATTAGGACAAATGGCAGAAATCAGGACTGGCCTGACCTTGAAAAATGGATTCGGAGTCTAGATATTGAAGCCTGAACAATTATTTGTTCTTCTCCACCAATTCATGTAACGGGATAGGTACGGACATGCAAAATAATATTAAAAATTAGTACATTGACTTTTTTTTTTTTTTTTTTGGTATCAAGTACGTTAACTTTTATGTTGAAAATTGCATTAAGATATCATACCATATTTGGATTGCTACTGTAGCATGCGATTCGTCGTACTTTTAGAAAGTAATTGTAATGATTTCATCTGTGGAAATGATGTTGTTGAAGAACTATGTTTAAATATCAACAGCGTCAAAACCATTTTGTGTCATTCTTGTTTGTTATCATTGACGCCCAAGAAAACAAACAATTCAGATGAAAATAAAAGAAATTAATACTAGTATGTTATTAAATATTCTTTTCATCTATACTATTAATTGAGAATCATTGTAGAATAAATAACCTCATTAAAGGTAAAGTATTACAATTGATGCCATTAGAAATTTTGAATTTAAAGAGTAAACAATAAAATTCTTTAAAGGGTAAAGTTGGTATTTTGACAGTGTACAAACTCGCGGATCTTGGACTTTCTGGGTTGGATTTTGGGCTAATGGGGGTGGATCCTGGGGTCGATTTTTTCGGTTGGGAATTTAGGAATGTTGTCATTCGACATTTCCTAAAATTAGTACAAAAATTAATGCTTAAACCAAAAATGTTAGTATCAATTACTCTATAAAATAAATAAATAATTAATCAATTAAAACATAGATAATAAGGAAATGATAATCAAATATTTCACCCTAATTATTTGTACTTGCCATAACTACTTGACAAGTAAAAGATTAATTCGAATTTCAAATCAAATCTCATATATTAAGAACTTACTAAAACTACTAAATCAAAACAGTAAACAAAATCTTAAGCATAAAAAACAAATTGAATATTTCCTAAAAAATTATACCAATTACTAAAATTTCAAATCCTAGCAATAATGTTAACCACGTAATTCAAGGTTTGTATACTTGAAAAAGTTAATTTCAATCATTTCTTATAAATTCGCTAATATATATATCTATATATATATATATATATATATATCACTAATTGTATTTAAAATCAATAATAAATAGCTCTAATTCTAAACTCATTTTTTCAAAGTCTTACTAACTTATTTCCTTATTTGTTCCTATCTATTTAATAGTAGTATAATCTACAACCTGATATCAAGGATTATCAAATCATCAACAAAGAAAATCTATATTTCCCAAACAAACGTTTGTATCTACATTTATTAATATAGACATTCTCTTAATATTATACACGGAATCTCAAGAGCATATTCCAATACTGAAACTAAATTTTACGTAACTAGCAAGATTGTATAAGATTTATTGTTTTAAAACCTAGAAAATTATTTATGAATTCGCCGACTTCTTTTTAGTATAAATATTGTAGTGATCTATATCATTTCCAATTCACCGAAACCTCTTAAATCTCTTTTATTCCAAAACCGAAACATACACACAAAAGAGAGAAAATATTGAGTGACTACAAAGTGTCAAAGATAAAATGTAAACCAGAAAAACAACTTCTCTACTTTTTTGTTTTGTTTATTATTCACAATGTAATTCTGGTATATGGTTTTTTTTTTTTTTTTTTTGTATGAACATATGGTTCTTCTTATTCCAGGTTAGATGGAAACATGAATGTTAAGAGAAGCGTGTGATGGTGTGTATCAAAAGTTGTTGGAACTTTGCATCCATTTTCGTTTGAACTTTCTTAAAAATCTTATGCTTTTGTTTTGTCTTTACTATTTTCCTGACATGATACATATTTATTGTGTGTAACTAGATTTTAACCCGCGGTACACCGCGGGTCTATAATTTTATTAAATAATAATAATTTTTTTTTTTAAGATGATCTATAGATATATGCTATTGTTTTATTTGATTTAAATGTATGGTACACTGTATGACGATTTTTATAACAAAAGATTTAAAATTTGAAGTTTTATTTGTTTTGTTAATATTATTTGTTTAGTTTTGTTTAGTGTTTAAGATTGTATAGTTATATTTTGATTGTTAATTATAGAATTTTACCCGTAGTATATCATACTGTATTAATATCGACCACAAACTCGTCCGCAACCATATAACTCTGTCCCGTCCAATCTACATCATTTTGTCATTTTCCAATAAAATTCAAAGATTTCTAATATTTGAAACTTCATTTAATATCGACCCAAAATTCATAATAGTATTTTGATTGTTATATCTAGGATTTCACCCGTAATATATCGTCCCGTATCTTTTGTAAATATTTATAATGTTTAAATTTCTTATAAATTATTATTAAATTCAACTATTTAATATTTGAAACTTTATAAAATTCCTAATATTATAAATATTTACAACGTTTTATAAAATTAAACTTTTTAAAAAGTTTAATTAAAATTTAATATTTTACTTTTAATAAAGTTTAATAGATTAAATTAAGAACTTATATTTAAAATGTTTTCTTTGGAAACTTTAATAGATTAAATTAAGAACTTAT